TGTTGCTAGGATATGAGAGACTGCCAAGCTGGGCTCCAAACTCACAGATCAAGGGTGGGGTCTTCAGAATCCAATCTCCCAGGGTTGGGTGAGCGAGCTGGGCCACCCAGTCACACTGTTCCACATCCCTGAGCACAGTGATTGGTCCACAGATGGCTATGTGATTCAAGTGGGCCAATCAGAATGTTCCTTAAATTCTGATATGTTGTGGGGGACTTCCTTTGGTGCCTTAGTCATTAGCATTGGGGCTAGGGAAGGCGAGGGAGATAGACTCCTGATACACAGCCACCCATGACCTATTTCTAGACATTTCTTGTTTCTAAGCCAGTAAAATCTTTCTGCTAGAGCTGGGCTTCTGTCACAACAAAAAATGACCTAAGACATTAACAAAATATCAGGCTCCATTTATGAGCTGTATTCCAGAACCAGGGACTGTTCTAAGCATGGTACATACACATTTTATTTCATTCCTGGGACCACCCTATGAAAGAGGAACTGTCACAATTCCATTTTACAGATGAGGAAACAGGGTGTGACCCTTGCCCAAGGACAGAAATGCAGGGAAATGGCAAGTCTGAATTCTGCTTCTGGGTGATGCTTACTGTCAACAAAGTAGCTGTCCTTTGAAAATCAATCTCAGTTTCCCATGTTCAAGCTTGTTTTATTCATCGTATTGTTGTTCAATTCTGAGTCATAGCTGACCCCACATGACCAAGTAGAACTGCCCCATAGGGTTTCCTAGGCTGTAATCTCCATGGGAGCAGACCTCCAGGTCTGTTCTTTGCAGAGCAGCTGGGTGGGTTTGAACTGCTGACCTTTTGATTAGCAGCCAAGCACGTAACTGCTGCACCACTAGGGCTCATTCATCTTATTATGTAAGACTTTGGGGTTTTGTAGTTCACCTGAAATGTTGGTTTGTTGTTGTCTTGTTTTATTTTTGAGAGAGGCAATTATAGGAAGGATAAACATTAATCGATAAAACACATTCCCAGTCATCCTGATGTCATCTTTCTGCACTGATTAAACATTTCCAATCAATTTCCCAACCTTGGCCACTGTTCCGGTTACCTAGTGCCACTCTGACAAGAATATAACACAAATGGGATGGCTTTAACAAACAGGAGTTTATTATCTTATGGTTTGGAGGCTTTAAGTCTGAGTTCAAAGTGCCAGGCTTTAGGGGCTGGGTGAAAGCCCCTCAACCTTGGGCTTCAGCTCTGCCTCCTGCTTCTGGCTCACTGGAGCTAGAGGCTTTTCTTCACTCAGCTGCTGGCTGCTGTGGCTGACAAGCCCAAGGTTGATAAGTAAAAACGCACAGTTCTGATGTTAACAAACCGCATGGCAGACCATTAATTCAAGTCCATTGAAAGTCCCAAGGTCAGCAGAGCATGGCAGGCTGCTAAGCAATGACATGGCTACATGCAGGGTCCAACTGTGCCATAAGCTAGCGACCATTCCCCGAGGCTTCTCCTTATGTACAGGAAGCAGACCACATCCCTAAGACAGCTATTCGGTTGCTTACAGTAGATTCCACCATGGAGTTGATTACCAGTCTCATCATGAGGAATAACTATATCCAGCTGCCCAACCACTCAACCAGGCCCAGCCAAGTTGACTCACAAACTTAATTACCACAGCCCCCTACCCCCAGGCTTGTTCGTTCCATTAGGTAATGTTTCAAGTTGTGTTGACCTCTGCCTCCTTGTAATTCCTACCCTCTGTAGCTCATCTGGGAGCTCTGGTGGCATAGTGCCTAAGGCATTTGGCTGCTAATCAGAAGGATGATGGTTCACACCCACCAGCCACTCTTTGGAAGGAAGACTGGGCAATCTACTTCCATAAAGATACTGCATCTGAAACCCAAGGAGGGGTCGCTATGAGTTGGGATCAACTCAATGGCAGTGAGTTTGGTAGCTCATCTGGCATCTAGGCTGCTTTAAACCATTCCTGGATCTAGTCAGGAAGACAAGTAACCCTGCAACTGGAGCCACATGGAACTAAACACCAAAGTCTTCTGAGCTTCCTGGCAGGCAAGGCAGATAGGGAAGTCCTTTTGCTCTAGTCGTCTAGACAATGAGCAGACTAGACTTATCAGGAGAAACAGATTTTGTCCTGGAAATAATTCTAGAATGGGTTTATTGCAGCTGTTCTCCAACAAGGACAATTTTTCCCCTCAGGGGACACTTTTGGTTGTCACTACTGGGGAACGGGTGTACTACTGGCATCTAATGGGTAGACCAGGAATGCTAAGCATCCTACAATGTACATGACGGCTCCCATAACAAAGACTTATCCAGCCCAAAGTGTCAATTGTACTTCGACTGAGAAATCCTGGAGGGTCTGCACATTGTCTAGAGATGGCAAGGGGAAGAGGGGCTCTGCAGCCAGAGACATGGATACAATCAAGAGGACCAACTTGTCCCTGTAGAACTGGAAGCTGGACTCCATCCTGTGGAAATGGCAACCTGGCCTTGAGGAACTACCACCTATGGGGAAAAGGCTCCTGAGTGTCCTGAGGCTGGCTTCGAGTGGCTCATTGGGTTGAGAACCTTGGTCTTTGTTTTAGTCCAGGGCCAGAAAGTCAGAACCATCAAGTCATATCCTTCCCCTGAAACTGGATGCTCAGTAGGCCGTTGGCATAGCTAGCAAGGCCCATTCTATGCCAGACAGAGCTGGAATTTTTGTGCTGACTTTAGATGCCAGGCCTTTGAGATGGGGTGCTGTCCAAGGTCCTTAATAAGCTTGGTAAGCTCTATCAACCACCGGTTTCAGGGACCCACTCCAACCTCCTTCTTTAGACCTTGTCATTTTATTCCTGATTATCCACCTACACCCTTGGGTCTTGTCATGTACTGTTGTTGTTGGATGCCATCAAGCCAATTCCAACTCAGGCACCTCAACAGGACAGAGTGGAACAGCCCCATAGGTTTCCAATGACTGTAATCTTTACAGAAACAAACCATCAAGTCTTCTCTCTTGTGTAAGCACTGATGGGTTGGAAATGGCACCAGCCTTTCTGTTAGCAGCCAAGTGCTTCACTATTGCACCACTAGGGCTTCTTCAGGTCCTAATAGCTTTTGGCAGTTTACCCTGGACACAACTCTGAGCTAGCCAGCACCACTCAGCTTTCCAGCTGTGTCAATCCCACTCCACCTTGTCTTCCTCTCCCCTCCGCATCTTTATCTGCAGAAAGGAGAAATACCCCTCCCATTGTGTATTGTACTGGACAAACCTGCTGCAAAAGACCTCTTTAAAGTGTTAAGAAGTAAAGATGTCACTTTGAAGATTAAGGTGTGCCTAACTCAAGCCATGGTGTTTTCAATCACCTCTTATGCATGTGAAAGCTGGACAATGGATAAGGAAGACCAAAGACTTGATGCTTTTGAATTGTGGTATTGGGGAAGAATACTGAAAGTACCATGGACTGCCAGAAGAATGAACAAATCTGCCCTGGAAGAAGTGCAGCCAGAATGCTCCTTGGAAGTGAGAATGGTCAGACTTTGTCTCACCTACTTTGGTCAGTTGTCAGAAGGGACCATTCCCTGGAGAAGGATATTGTGGTTGGTAAAGTGGAGGGTCGGTGAAGAAGGGGAAGACCTTCAATGAGATGAATTGACACAGTGGCTGCAATGATGGGCTCCCATATAGCAAGTATTGTGAGGCTGGCACAGGACTGGGCAGTGTTTCATTCTGTTGAACATAGGGTCACTATGAGTTGCAGCCGACTGGTGGCACCTACCAACAACAACAACAACTGATAGACAGGTGGGGGCAGCTGCCCATGTGGGGCATTGGCTGGGGATCTGACGGAGGTCTCCTGTGTGGAAAGTGAGAATTCTGCCACTGAACCACCAATGCAGCTCTCATTTGGTTGTTAAAAATCAGAAAAAGACACACTTGTGGTAGGTAAAAAGACACACTTGTGGTAGGTAATCGGGGAGGCCGAGGACATTCACTTCTCAAAGAATTGGCCAGTGAAAACCTTATGAATAGCAGTGAAACACTGTCTATCAGTAGAGACTTGCATGTTGCTAAACAGGTTTCAACAGAGCTTCCAGACTACGACAGGAAGAAAGGCCTGGAAATTTACTTGTGAAAATCAGCCTATGAAAACCCTAGGGATCACAACGGTTTGATCTACTGTGCATGGGGTCACCATGAATTGGGGGCTGATTTGACCGGCAGCAGCTAACAGCAACAAGGGAGTTACAATTTATCTCTATTTTACAGATGAGTAAACCCAGGATGCAGAGGAGTCAGGATTTGAACCCTTTCCATCCAAGCCCCAGCAGCCCTGGTGGTGCAACAGTTAAGCACCTGGCTGCTAACCTAAAGGTTGGTGGTTTGAATCCACCCAGTGGCTTCATAGAAGAATAGACTTGGTGATCTGCTTCTGGAAGGATAACAGCCAAGGGAATGCTATGGGGCAATTATACTCTGTCATGTGGGGTGGTTAAATCAGAAAGGTTTCAATGGCACCCAACAGCTCCAACCATCTAGCCCCAGGGGCTGGTCTTCTCAAACCCTCATCATACTATCGCCATACAAAAAAACCAAACCAAAACAAAAACTCACTGCTGTCGAGTCAGGTCCAACTCATAGCGACCCCTCCTTGGTTTTCCAAGATGGTATCACTATGGAAGTGGATTGGCCAACCTTCCTTCCGAGGAGTGGCTGGTAAGTTTGAATCGCCAGCCTTCTGGTTAGCAGTCAAATGCCTTCGGCACTATGCTACCAGAGCTCCTTACTCCCCATCAATCACTACTCACCTCTGCTGCCTGATACCTTACACGGGGTCCTACCACTGAGCCTTTGTTGAAATGACCTCCCTGCTCAGAGTAAGGCAACTGCAGAAGTGCCTGAGCATCCAGGGTTTCTCAATGAAGTCATTCACGGCCTACACAGCCCTCCCTCCAGCCCCTGCCCCTCAAGCTCTTGCTTGAACATCTGGGTGATAAGAGTGTGTTGGGGAAGGACCAGGGTTGTAGCTGAGGTGGTGTTTATTGCTTGCTGTGGCATGGGTAGGTGGGAGTCTGGGGGGCCCGGGGGTCCTTCCTTTCCTTGTAGTGCAACTGGCAAGGCGTGCCCGGGAACATGTGGCTCTCCTGAGTGTCGGCAGAGCTCAGCACCACCGGGCCCTGGTACTTGTAGGGAAACTCCTCCTGGTAGCGGGTTGAGAAGGTGCGTTGTCTGCCCAGTGGGGGCTCCATGTGGCTGTACTTGCACTGTGGAGAAGGGGTGGGCAGGCTGGCCAGGCAGCCTGGGGGGACCCACCCAGGCCACCCCATGGTGCCCACACACTCTGGGAGCATCAAAGCTGGCCAGAGGCTCAACCAGGCTTGGCTGGTGACTGGGTCCCAGGCTGGTCTATGCTGGAGCTCAATGAAAAGTCAGAGTGAAACCAGGGGTGGCCCTGGAGTGACTGCAGGGCTGGGGTGACTCTAGTCACCCTGTCTAGAGCAGCCCTCAGCTCTGGGTATAACCCTGTGTTGATCTTGATGCTGGTGATACAAAGATGCCCTTGAACTGACCCTGACCCTGGGGTGAACTAGGATGACATTAAGATGACCCTGTGCCTAGGGTGACCCTAGAGTGACTCTGAGCTGGTTTTGCACTCCTCTGAGTCTAGATAAGACACTCCAATTGCCCTGTGATAATACTGGTGACCTCGGCTTGATTTGGGGCTGACCTGGTCAGGAGTGTAACCCCGTGTCCTCCCTCACCCGCTGAAGCATCTCCTCAGTCCTGCGAGCCGGACCTGTTCTGTGTGGCTTCAGCATCTTCTGGTTCGTGGTTAAAAAGTCTGTCTCTGGAGATGTGAGTGGGGACGACTGAGCTGAGGGACTGAAGGAGACCAAGCAGGACCAAAGGGGCGGGCCGTGCGAGACAGTGGGGAGGGTTCCAGCGCGGAGCCTGGGGTAGTACCAGGGGCGGGGCCAAGGCCAGGGCCAAGAGGGACGGGATTGACTGGAGTGGAACAAGGATCCTGATAAATTCAGGCTCTGATCTGGACCTCAGAGAGGAGGAGCCAGAGTCAGGCAAGTGGGAGGGGCGACACCAGCCGGGGCAAGGCCAGAGCCATGGAAGAGGCGGGGCTTTCCAGAGGGGGCGGGACCGCGCTCACTGCCTGTGCCCCTCGGCAGGTTGCTCTGGTGGAGGTGTAGGTTGAGCGCTTTCAGGGGCCGCTGCGACTCCGGGGCTAGGTAGTCCGAACCCATCGAGGTCTGAAAGAAGTGTCTGAGCAGCGACGCCTCCCCTAGAGTCACATGACTCTGCAGTTTCTCGTGGGGCAAGTGGCGGCCGCATGGCTGGTTTAGGGGCGGTGGCTGTAGGACCATAAGGCATCTGGGAACCCCCCTGCTGTTGGATGTCCCAAGGCCCAGGTCCGCCCTATGTGACCTTGGACAGCTCCCTCGCCTCCTCTGAACCCCCTACAATCGCGCTGGGAGTGGTTGTTGTTACCTGCAATGGAGTTGGACCCGACTCATAGTGATCCCTCCTTGGGTTTCCGAGGCGGTGTCTTTATGGAAGTAGATTGTCCAACCTGCCTTCCGAGGAGTGGTTGGTGGATTTGAACCACCAGCCTTCTGGTTAGCAGTCAAATGTCTTAGGCCCTACTCTACCAGAGCTCCTTGGGAGTGGTTAGTTACCTCATTTTACAGTCAGTGCCACTGAAGCCCATAGCTGTTAAAAGACTTACCCTAGATGACTCAGATAGATCAAGGAGATTCCCTCATATAAGCCAAGTTCGATGCCACCCCAGGGCCTTTGCACCTGCTATTGGTTGGTTCTGCTGGGAAGCCCTTTTCTCTGGTGGGTTCTGTGGCCTTCTCCCCATCCTGCTGACCTGGCCGAGGAAAAACCGCGTGGAGGTGATGAGGCTGCCTGGACCGGGGTGCTGGTTTCCTTCCAGGATGTGCGACAGCGGAGTCCGGTCGTGGTGAAGAACAAAAGGCTCTGCCAATGGCAGAGTCGATGCCGAGGCCCTCTGGGCAGCAGCCTTCAGGGGGAGGGGCCAAGGCAAGCAGCAGGCTCTCACCTGTCTCTCGGGCGTAGAAGTGCTGGCCCATGGTAGTGGCATCGTGGAAGAGGCCGTCTCCAGGACGAATATTCACGTAGTGGACATGGGCCGCAGCCTGGGCCTTGTCATACCTGCAGGAAAGGTGGGAGCCACCTGGCCGGAGGGCGGGCGGGCTCAGGGGTGAGGACTGGGGCAGTGGTGAAGTTGGAAAGGGGCGGAGCCGGGAGGAAGGGTGGAGCTGGGGCGATGCTGAGGAGGCCTGGGTCTGGGCCAGGCAGGGTAGGCTCCCTGCTCAGGGGTGGAGCCGGAGTCTGACAGAGGCAACAAGTTAGGTGGTTCCAGAAAGGGGCGGGCCGTGGCCTGGGAGGAGGCCGCGCGAGAGGGCAGGTTGCGTAATGGCCAAGGCTTGGAACGCTAATAGCGAAAGATGCTGCACAGCGATGGGCCTGGCCTAATGGATTTAAGCACATCCCACATGCCGCGAAGAACCCTTTACCCATCTTGTGGGAAGCCACGGTCCCCTTGTACCTGTCTGGGGGCAGACCCTGGGACCTGTAGGCCTGCTTCTGCTCAGAGCACAGGTGCCCATAGCCAATCTCACAGTCTCCCAATTCCACACTGGAGGAGGCCTGCGGGCAAACAGGGTTGGGATGACCAGGACAGCCTGTAGCTGCCCTCCCAGCGGCCCAGCCTGGCCTCAATTTACCCTCTTACACATCAAGGCGGGTGACCCCGGCAAGGCCTGGAACTGTCTCTGGTAGGAGGTGCTGTGCTCCTGTGTCCTGTGGTCCCCCTTGAGGGGACTGAGGCCTCCTGAGGATGGGCAAGAAGGGAGAGAGACAGATTGAGTCAAGGGAAGGACGCATGCCCCGCTGTGGGAAGGGGAGCCAGCTAGACCTGACTCAGTCTATCCTGAGGACTGTTGGGAAACCCCCCAAATAATAACAATAACAATAATGATCCAGTATGGAGTCAAGAAGGAGCTCTGGTGGCATAAAGGATGAGGCATTCAGCTGCTAACCAAAAGGTCAGTGGTTCAAACCCACCAGCCGCTCCGTGGAAGGAAGATGAGGCAATCTACTTCCATAAATATTCACAGCCTTGGAGACCTAGTGGGGGTTGGTATGAGCTGGAATCAACTCATTGGCAGTGAGTTTGGTTTGTGGAGTCGGGTATCTATGCTAGTGCTCACCCCATCCAGGGGCCTGGGCTTCTTTGTTCTATCTCACAGCCTCCCCGAAGCTCAGAGAGGTTAAGTGATTTGCCAGAAATCATAGAAGGTAGGAGCGAGACTCAGAGTTGTGGGTGTGACAGTCTCTGAGCCCAGCTTGGAGGGACACTAGCTGGTGACGCCTGCCAGAGAAGCCCTGGAGTCACAGGATTGGACAATAACACACGCGGCAGCTGCTCATTATGGAGTGTTCACAGTATGCCAGGGCTATTTCGGCTTCACCAGCTCCTCTGGAGTGAGGTTTTACTATTGCACCCATTTCACAGGTGAGGAAACTGAGCTTGGGGGGGTCAGCTTGCTCAGACTTACACAGCTACTGAACTGGCAAGGCTGAGGGGGATTACTTAGCAGATTTGTCTGACCCCAATATTGACACTAAGGAGCTCTGGTGGTGCAGCGCCTAAGGCATTTCACCACTAACCAGAAGGTTGGTGGTTTAAACCCACCAGTTCCTGTGTGGAAGGAAGATAGAGCAATCTACTTCCGTAAAGATTTACTGCCTCCGAAACCCAAAAGGGGTTGCTATGAGTCGGAGATGACTCGATGGCGGTGAGTGTGTGTAATATGGATCCCGGGGCTGGATCATTCTTTGTGCCAGGTGCTGTCCTGCACACTGTATGGTGTAGAGCTGCATCCCTGGCCTCCACCACTCTATATAGCACCTCCCTCCCAGTCATGACAAGCAAAAATGTCTCCAGACATTGTCAAATGTCTCCTGGGCTGCTGAATCCCTTCTCCCCTCCTGTCTTGAGACTTTCTGGTGGTAAAGCCAATCGCCCCGGCCGCCTGGGTGCGCTCTCACCGAGGTGTTGGCAGGGAGCGCGAGGCTGCGGGTAGGCGTCGTGAGGCGGGAAGAGTGCTTGGTACGTGGTGAGCGGGATGCCCAGCTTGGCGCGGTCGCCGGGTGGCACCGAGTCGCCGGCGAAGATGAGGTGCGCCCTGCGGACCTGCTCACTGGCGCGCGCAGGCAGCTCCGGCCAGCGGTATACAGCGCGCGAGTTGGGGATGGAGATGCCCTCGTGCGCGTCCGCGTGCATGTGCAGGTTGGTGGCTTGCAAGGCGAGCGTGCGCTCCCGCGCCTGTTTGTCCGACAGCGCGGTCCCTAGCGGCACTGGCTGGTACATGCGGTGCGACTCCGACACGCGCTCCTCCAGCGCCCAGCGTGCGTCCTGCTGGAAGAGGAGCGCAGGCGGCGGCTGGCGGTGCGGTGGCTGGTAGGTGACTCCTGGGTGGGCCTGGAAGTCTCGGCACGATGTTGAGTACATGGTGCCCTCGCGCAGCCGCAAGTCGGGCCCCAACGCAAAGTGCGAGGCCTTGAGGAAGTCGCTCAGGGGCATCCCGTTTCGCAGGAGGGCAGTCGCGGTCGTCTCGGGACACGACGTCACCTGCGAGAGGGTGGAGACGCAGAGCTAACCAAGTGCCCACCGAAGACAATGCCTCCTTCTTGTGTGGCAGGCACAGCCCTTACCCCTAGGGAAGGTGGAGATATGACTGATCGTAGTCATCATGCAACTATGAGCTCAGATATAGCAAAAATTGTGAGGCTGGCACAGGACAGGACACTGTGTCCTTCTGTGGTACACAGGGTCGCTACGAGTCGCAGCAGACTCCACAGCAGCTAACAACAGCAGTAATCATTCAGGTGGCGCCTACTTTATGCACTGTTCTAGGACGTTGGGGAGATATCAGTTAATAAAACAGACCAAGAGCCCTCCCCTTGTGGAGTTGACAGTGGGGCAGGCGGGAGACAGACAATAATGAATAAATGGAATAACATTAATTGCGGCAAAAGGTAGAAGTCGTTAAGTATTAATAAAGGAGCCCTGGTAACCCTATGGGACAATTCTACTCTGTCCTTTAGCAGTGCTATAGTCAGAATCGGTCCGACTCGATGGCACATAACAACAAATAGTCAGAATTCTCGTTTATAGCCATGGTATAGTCATGGTTTAAAATCAGGAAGGGAGTGTGTCAGGGTTGTATCTTTTCCCCACACTTATTCAATCTGTATGCTGAGCAAATAATCCAAGAAGCTGGACTATATGACAAAGAATGCTGCATCAGGATTGGAGGAAGACTCATTAACAACCTGCACTGTGCATACGATACAGCCTTGCTCGCTGAAAATGAAGATGACTTGAAGCACTTACTGATGAAGGTTGAAGAATACAGTCTGCAGTATGGATTACACCTCAACATAAAGAAAATGAAAATCCTCACAACTGGACCAATAAGCAGCATCACGATAAATGCAGAAAAGATTGAAGTTGTCAAAGATTTCATATGACTTGGATCCACAATCAACACCCGTGGAAGCAGTGGCCAAAAAATCAGATGTTGTATTGCACTGGGCAACTAGGCTGCAAAAGACCTCTTTGAAGTTCTGAAAGGAGGTCTGGTGGCATAGTGCCTAAGGCACTTGACTGCTAACCAGAAGCCTAGCAGTTCAAACCCACCAGTCACTCCTCGGAAGGAAAGTTGGGCAGTTTACTTCTGTAGTGATACTGTCTCGGAAACCCAAGGAGGGGTCGCTATGAGTCGGGTCTGACTCGATGGCACATCAACAAAAACAAAGTTCTGAAGAGCAAAGATGTCTCTTTGAAGACTAAGGTGCACCTAACCCAAGCCATGGTATTTTCAGTCACCTTCTATGCATGTGAAAGCTGTACAATAAATAAGGAAGACTGAGGAAGAGTTGATGCTTTTGGGTTGTGGTGCTGGTGAAGAATACTGAAAGTACCATGGACTGCCAGAAGAACTAACAAATCTGTCTAGGAGGAAGTGCAGCCCAAATGCTCCTTGGAAGCCAGAATGGCCAGACTCCATCTCACCTACTTTGGTCACGTTATCAGAAGGGAACAATCCCTGGAGAAGGATGTCATGCCTGGTAAAGTGGAGGGTCAGAGAAAAAGGGGGAGGCCCTCAACGAGATGGATCGACACAGTAGCTGCAACAGTGAGCTCAGGTCTAGCAAGGATTTCAAGACTGGCTCAGGACCAGGCAGAGTTTCATTCTGTTGTACATGGGGTCGGGTCACTATGAATTGGAGCTGACTCAAGGGCACCTGACAACAACAACAACAACAACAACGTCAAAATAGACTCCACAAAAATGGGTTTGGTTATTTTTTGGTTCGGTGGCCCAAGAGTTAAGCACTTGGCTGCTAATTGAAAGGTCAGCAGTTTGAACCCACCCGGTGATTCTATGGAAGAAAGATGTGGCAATCTGCTTTTGTAAAGATTGCCACCTAGAAAGCATGATGAGAGAGTTCTACTCTGTCACATGGACATGCTGAGTCAAAAATCACTGTATGGCCCCAAACAAAACAACAAGAAGTGCTATTAAAAAGAAAAGGCATGGGCTGGGGAACTATGGTCGCAGGGAACATCAAGCTCAATTGGCACAACATGGTATACAAAAATATGGTTCCACATCTTAGTTTGGTGAGTAGCAACTAGAGCTTACTGGTCTAATAGTGTCTGGTGAAACCCCTGAGACTATGGCCCTGAGTCACCCTTCTGGGCTGGAATTGAACTCACTCCTGTGGCTTAACTGTTAGCCAAACAATAGATAGGCCTACAAGCTGAACACCTACACTAGAGAGAGGCACTCCTTACTACAATCTGCCGGAGATCAGAAGGGCAGCATTTGCACGGGGAGATAGCTAGGGAGGCAGGAATGCAAAGGCAAGAAGGACACGGGAAAGGGTAACCATGGGGAGGAAGTGGGAGGAGAGCTCTTACATTGCGGGGAATGTAACCAGGGTCACAAAACAAAATGTGTATGAGCTGTTGAATGTAAAATGATTCTGCTTTGTAAAATTTCACCCAAACCACAATAGAAAGCTTCTTTAAAAAAGAAAAGTCAAGCAAGGTAAAAGAATGGGGGTTTGGGGCAGGAAGTTTGCAGATTTTAAGTAGGGTGTCAGGGAAAGCCTGAGTGAGATGACAGTTGAGCAAAGACCTGAAAGGGTCAGGGGCATTTGGCATTCTGGGGGAACAGCATTTCAGGCAGAGAGGACAGCAGGTGCAAAGAGTCAAGTGAGCAAGAGGAGGGGAGTGGTAGGCAATGGGGCTGAAAAGATAATGGGAGCCAAGTCCCCAAAGGCCTTGGTGAGGCCCTTGGTGTTTTCTCTGGTGAAGTGGGAGCCATGGGAGGGATTAGAGCAGAGGAGGGGCATGTTATTTATACAGAGAATGTGTATCCATGGCTAGCATTTATTACATACTCACTGGGTGAACACTTTTAATAAATGAACCACTATTGCACAGATGAAGACAGTGAGGCTTAAGGAGGTTGTCTTTGCTTGATTTGAATACAGGACTCTGATTTGAGAATCCATAGACTTATCTGCTGCATTCTGCACCAGGAGCCTATTCCCCACCCTCAGTCAAGGCCATTGCTCTCCTCTCCTTCATGTCTAGGAACCACTTCTGTTTCTCTGCCCAAGCTCAGCTCTGAAGCCCTGGCTAAACCATTCTCCTAGGTACCCTCTCTGCCCTCAAACTGGCTGAAGTCTGCTTACCTCCCACTGACTTCTGACCTGCAACTCCAGGCTCCCAACACCCTACTCAGCTCTGCCTTTGCTCACAGTAGAAGTGTCTCCCCAACTGGCCTCCCTACCCCTGGAGACCCTGGCTGCCCACTGTGCTCCCCGCTCAGGCTTGTCTCTTCCTGGAAGCCCTCCCAGACTTCAGCCCACCGAGAGTTGCTCATGCCCATTTCTTTCTTTCTTTCTTTCTTTTTTAAAAAAACATGCAACAAGCATTTTCACAAAAGCCCATTCTCCAGTATCTAAGGTTTGTTTCTTTTTCTATCATTTTACCCCCTGGAATAGTTGGGAGTCAAAAAGATTTCAAAATAGTTGGTGGGAGAATCTGACCACTGAGATTTTCTAGCTGGGTGTTATGGGTTAAATTGTGTCTCCCAGAAAGATATGTGGAAGTCTTAGCCCCTGATACCTGTGAATGTGAACTTGTTTGGAAATAGGGTCTTCAAAGATGTTATCAGTTAACAAGACATTATTTCCACTTAGGAGCGCTGGTGGTGCAGTGGTTAGAACATTCAGCTACTAACCAAAAGTTTGCCAGTTCAAACCTACTGGCCGCTCTTCAAGAGAAAAATGAGGCAGTCTGCTTCCTGAAAGATTTATGTCTTGGAAAGTCTATGGGGCAGTTCTACTCTGTCGTATAGGGTTGCTAGGAGTCAGAATTGATTCAATGGCAGTGGGTTTGGTTTAGTTTTTAGAGTGGGTCCTAATCCCATCTGGATGCTATCCTTATCAAAGGGGAGAAGAGACACAGTGGAACGATGACCAACGTGACGATGGAGCCAGACACTGGAGTGAAGCATCTACAAACCAAGGGATCCCAGGGGCTGCCGGGAACCACCGGAGGCTGGGAGAGCAAGGACGGATCCTCCCCTGGAGCCTGCAGAGGGAGCATGGCCTTGCCCACACACTTGAATTTGGACTCCTAGCCTCCAAAACTTTGAGAAAGGAAATTTCTGATCTTCTAAGCCATGTACATTGTGTTACAGCAGCCCAAAGAAACGAATACATTAATACAGGTGTTGGGGATTGAACTGTGAAACACTCCCTCCCCCCCAAAAAAACAATGTGTGTTGGAATCCTGACCCCTATCCCTGTGGATGTGATTCTGTGTGGAAATAGGGTTTTCTTGGTTATGTTCATGAGGTCCTATCCGTGCATGTGCTGTCAAGTTGATTCTGACTCAGCCACACGTGTGACAGAGCAGAACGGCCCCATAGGGTTGTCTATAGACTGTCGTCTTCACGGGAGGAGATCACCACGTCTTTCTCCTGCAGAACCTCTGGGTTGGTTCACACCTCCAGCCAGTTGGTTAGCAGCTTTGTGCTTAACCATTTCGCCACCACAAGTCAGCAAGCAGACACAGGACAAGGACAGAAGCTACCTAAAGATGGCCATGGCAGGTGAGTCTACAAGGCCAGGACCTCCAAGGTTTGCTGGCTCCAAGAGGCTGAACTTGGAGTCCTGGTGATGCAGGCATTTGATCACTTGGCTGCTCACTGAAAGGTTAGTGCTTCAAACACATTCAGAGGGTCTGTGGGAGAAAGACCTGGCCATCTGCTCCTGTGAAGATCACAACCTAGGAAACCCT